ATAATGGTGTTTTCAAATACTATCGATTTGTTAAGATCAATGAAATTACAGTTCAAGAAATTATAATAGGCACAAAAAAGTGTAATAGCAAATAGAATATCAAATAAAACCAACGAAGTTTCCACAACAAATTAAGGATCATTGAAATCTTGATGGCTAAGGTAAGGACGATGTCTGAGCCAATTACTTTTGGAGACATATGTTGGGTTCCTTAATCTAGAAGCCGACAGTCTTAGCAGTATATAGTGGTCGAACTGTTAAGGTAAAGTTAAGATTTGTTGGTATGCGGTAAATGACTTTGAAAACCTCGTCAACATCAACCTTGTGTTCTGTCTCTCCAGGAGATGAGACAGAATAGAGCTATAAATGGATTTTATTTATCCCTTACTTAAGTGCACAGGATGATGTTTGAAAATCTGACGATAAACACGCCTAATTGTACGGCTTATTTAACTGGCTCCACAGGAGCAGTGCTCTTTTTATCGCCGTGTCTCTTAGTCGTTGTGTTAACATCTCACTGATGTTATCCCCAAGAAACACAAGTTTTAAGAATAAGGCCTTTTTCGGAACTGTTAATACTTTGGTCTGCCTTGACTTTTGATTCATATTATTATTGATGAATTTTTCTGGATAACCGTTCTCACTCATCAATTGTTTAATAATATTAAACTCTTCATTAAGACTTTTTCAGCTTCGTAATTTTGAAATACAAACGCAATTTAATAAATTACCTGGTCCACAGAGCAAGAGCAATCCACGGCGATGAATGAGTATACTAACCAGCTGATGTAGGTTTTTTAAATAAACGTCTTCTTATTGTTCCCTCCTTTTTTCTAGTCATAAGGATGTCTAGAAATGAAATACCAGAGTTTCTTTCTTTCTCGATAGTGAAATTTATTGCAGGATGAAAATCGTTAAATTCATCCAGGATTTTCTTTGCCTCAGCCTCACATATCATCCACGTACCGACAGTAGAATTCTAGTTCATCAATTACATCTATCAAAGGCCCATTCTCTAGTTTTACAAGGAAAATGTCGGCTAGAATGGGTCCTAGTAGTGACCCCATTGCCATATCATCAATATGTCTATGTAGTTCCTTATTACATAAAAGGATATCCTCTGCTCAGTTTTTTTCTTAATATATAACTTCCTAATATTTGACCATTTTACACCTAATACTCTCGTACTATTTACCAGTGGGCAGTGAATAATTTAAATCTTAAAGTGTAAGTGTTTTTTATAAGTTGATCACGGAATGATATCAGTTAGAGAATCATTGAAAATAGCCATGGGGTACTGGACGGCTGTTTCATCCTAGTTTGGGAATCATCAGCATGGTATACAGCCTTGCTTTGTAACCGGAAGGCCCTGGGTTCGAACCCCTCTAGTGGGTGCGTACTGCCGATGATTCCCAAACTAGGATGAAACAGCTGTCCAGTACTCCCAGCTGGTTTTCAATGGTTCTCTAACTGATATAAATCCGTGACCAACTCGTATAAAAAACAAAATTAACCCTTACAAACCAAACTATGGAAAAGTATGTAGTTTTTATTTCTTCTTAATAATGTAATGTTTAAAAGCCTTTATTCAGTTTATCAAGAAACAAATAAATGTAATGGCTCTTCGTAAATTCTACTACCTCTATTCTCTTTCTCTAATACACTTTTAATTTGGAATAATCCTCTTTAAAATAATATTGATTGTAGTAACATAGGTGTGTGTAATTCTCTTCACATTGCGTATCTGTAATATTAGGATGTGCCTATAATTGAAGAGCTTAAAGAAGGATTTGTTAATCCCAAAGTTGCATTCAAGTAGCTTCTATTCAAAGGGTAATTTTTTTCAATTCTAAAATTATTCCTGTCTAGAGAACAGTCATGAGTGATATTAATAATATAAGGTTGGTGAATTGCTTTTTATATGGATATGAGTTTATGAACAGTTTATGTAATTTAAAGGGACTAGATATATGGCGAAAAGTTTGCAAGGTAGAAAAAGTGCCTACTGATTGGAAGGAAGGCAACCTAGGGAAACCACCAAAGAAGGGAGACGTGGGTCTGTACAATATCAGACTTGTAAACTTATTCTTGTCCACTGGTTCTTTTGAAGTCAGTCTTATGATTCAGATCAGTTAAATATTTGTGCTGTATACGAAGTTGGTAGTCTACTGCCTAATTCCACTAGGATTTCACAGTTCAGTTGTTTCTCATACCATTTAGGTACATGTTCTTCTACTCTCACATGCAAAGTGCCATTACTCCTCCCTGTGTGTGTGTGTGTGTATGTGGCCACACACACACATTTTAATTGGTAGATAGTATGGGATGTAACATAATCACTTGTGCAATTTTGAGGCTTGTGGAAGAGCATGTCTTTGGCTTTCCCCACAATTATAAACCGGGCTGCATATTAAGTTTAACAGGTGACGTACTACTTATTTCTTCATTGTAATGCAATTTGATGAAGATATCTTTCTTATGGACTGGATAGACTGTAGATTTTGAAACTAGCTGACCTCTATGCAGGTCCAGAAACCTCAAAGTAAATCCGTTTTTGTCAGTATCTTATTCTCATCATGTATAACATCAGCTGTACAAATACAGTGAATCCTCTTGAATGAGCACTTTACCAAGCCACTCCTATATTGTAATGAGGAGAATCTGTGAAAATTGAAATATTTCCTGTTCATGTATACTTTCTAGAAGCTGGCCGCTTTATTGAGCCATCCTCTCTCCGACTCATAAATATGTCCAAGTATACGAATTGGCTGTAACTTTCTTATTTTATTTTAATTTTTTTTTATTTTTGATTTACAGCTTGATTCCATACTGTATTTTTGGTACAAGTAGGGAGTTTTCAGCGTGGATATCGGTAGCCCAAATTTTGCAGGCCGACTATAGATATCAGGTGTGCGCCGGCGTAGGCTCGAACCCCGGACCATGTGCATGGTCGGTGAGAGTCCTAACCACTGTGCCACCGACGCATGTAATACCGATAGGACGTTGTATAGCCTTAAGTTTATCCAATTCTATTACTGTGTTGTTCTCCAACATAAATCGTCAAAATGGTCAGTTAATATTTTGATCCCGCTACACAGGGAATTGTGTTTTAAATAATATCGTGGTTAATATTAACTGCAAAGTGTATATTTATTTAGTGCACATCGATTCAAGAAAAATCCTTTTAATCAGACGTTAAAGACAAAACACCGAGTAAGTATATAAGTTATAACATAACAAACCTGCAGCGCTTTCGTATCAGTATATTTAGATAAGTAGTAAGGAGACAGTCAATGAGGATTTGAATTTCCTCATTTAGTTAGTCTTATATGATTTTGAGAAGTGCTGTCATCATATCATTTGGGTGTTTCATCAGCATTTTACATAACTGGAATATCTTTTGTAGCACTTGTTATACTATGAGCCAAAACATTTAATGACAGTTTTTGTCTTCACTCGGAGTTGAAAATAACTGAAAGAAGCCTATTCTATCTACTAAAACAATCAAATGTAAAGAAGTATAGAAAGGATAAGTCAACACTCATTTATTGTGGCATAAAATTCAAGTTTGTCACTGCTACACGTCGAAACCAAACTAAACAAATTAAATCAAGACCCATAGGCCAATGTTGGCTGATATCCTTCCCTTCACAAACAGAGTTGTTAATTTAAGGATGGCGAATGTAACTAAAGTTCTGTGATCCAGAGGAAAAGTTTTTAGTATCCAAAAAGAACACGTCCAGATGCTGTTCCTACTGTGGCCAAACTTGGATTGATGATTCTTCTCACCAAGAGTGCTCCTTCCCCTTAATCCTCTTGGATTTTTTTCTGTTTTTGCCTATTATAACAATTATTATTGTTATTCTCCATAATTTATACCCTTCATTCAAACATACTCTCAGTACTGTCGAATTTTCTATTTATATTATCTGGACTTATTATTAGTGATACTATCTCTTTCCTAAATATATGCCTCCACCTGTTTCATTTCACACATTCATTATTTCATCAGGAACCTCTCATTGCAGTCTTATTATCTCCTCTTTAATACGCACCAATTTGTTCCAGATACTCACTTGACACTTTTTATAACCTTGAGCTGACTTGCCAATTTTTCCTACCCTACATTCTACAAATCTCCTTTGATTAATCCCCACCACTGTCTTCACAATATTTTGTAATCGATCTCACCCTAGCACGTTTGTCACACAAATACGACTGCTTATTTTGACACCCCACAACTAATCTGTTATTCTACGTTAAAAATGTATCCACCGCATAAGTCGCCATTGATGTAACGACAACAAATATTATATTTTATAATTGTAAGAACCTGAAGAGAAATTATTGAAAAGAATATTGTTCGTTCAGACTGACTTTTGTATAGTAGCCTAACATTAGTAGAAATATCCCACTGTAAACCATACCGATTAACGTTGAACTTCTGTTGTAGATGTATGATATTCAGGTGAACGTTCGTCCATCCCATCCCACTGATATCCAGTGGAAGTAAATTCAAGTTGATAGAGAAACTCATAGTTAATTCATAATTTACTCAAAGACTATACCTTATTACGCAGGATGTTAAAGGTTGTCAGCAGGGTAAGCAACCTGCCACCTAACCAGCTTGTTAATATTCTGGTTGACAGGCACTTGAACTCATGTGAAAAATGGGCTAAATCCATTTTACCTAACTCACACCACCCTCTTCATTCAAAACTCTCCTCTTGTATCTCATCAGGCAAAACCAGAAGCCCATATAGGAAACTATATGTTCGCACTAGCAAGTACAAAAACTCAACCATACCCTACTTAGCTTGTGTTCTGTGCGATAAAGAAAGCATTAGGGGCGATACCTATAACTTATTAAATAATCAGTAGAACAACTGGATGTCGTCTTTCCAACTCATATAATTTATAGGTACGTTTTTTTTCTTTCTTTTCCTTTTCTCTCTCTTTTCTTTCTGTTATTTGCAGCTTTGTTTCTTTCTTCCTTACAGACTCTATTTGAAACATTCTTCTTCGTTCTTTCACACTCTGTATATCTCGACCTGTTTGTTACTGCTTACGCCAGTGAATATGCCAGCATCTACTTTTCTAACACCTTCAAACACTGTTCAATTTTGGCTTTGCTACCGACATGCCAGTATGCTGTTGTCAAAACGAACTGAGATTACCCTTAATCTATATAGAATTTTATTTATTGTTAATGTACCAACTGGATGCAATACTGTAGTAAAATGCTGAAAATTCCATTCTGTATCACAAGTACTGTTTTGGAATAACGTAAATTATTATTATTATTAGTTTTGGAGTAAAATGTTTCATAGTCTTCACAGTCAGACTGTTGTTGTATATGCGTTTCTTATACCTGAGATATGAATGCATTAATATGGACATTGTAGGACAGATATCTCTATCATTTGAAGGTGTTTACTGCAGATGTATGTATTCTATGCACTATCACCAACCGTACTGACTATTTTATCTTTATTGTTGAATTCTTTTAAGGATCACACAGAATATCAACTTTATCACGATTACATATTAAACTATGGGATTACTAACAATAAATCTCCGAAATAATAATAACGTACTATATATAATATGAACTTTTTCCTCATCTACTATGCTTCAATGAGTTCATAGGAGAAGTGAAGTTTTGAATAAGACAATATAGAAATAAAAACTAATCACAGTCACTATACCATTTTAATGTTTTACGCTATTTCGGATTTGTTTATGATAAACTGATTTTAATATTCCCCTGAAAAATGTTTATGCGTCGATTTAATAGTTGAATGCTTAGGAGGTCAGTCCAGAGCACTCTTAATTTACTAGCCAGCAGTAAATCCAACTTACTGAGTAATTGGTGTGACAAAACTAATTTTCGTCACCATGGTATTTCTGCATGATTCTTAAAGTACATTAATCTCTAGACTGAGAACAATTATCTCAGGAAAATCATTCTAATCTGTATAAACGAGTTATTGACGCAGAATTTATAAGATTAGTTAGGTGACGCAATATATAACTAACACTAAGATGAAATAAAGTTCTATAAGAAAGAAAGTGTTTGTCTATAAGTGTCTATGTTTATGGAATGTTTTTAGCCTAAGTTAGGCTATATAACTTTTTGTTTCCTTCCATTAATAAATTTCTAAAAGTACAATGCTGCATAACCTATACAAGGGGCAGGTACTTTTCAGTTTGACTCAGCCCTCCTTACATGCTTCGAGACATTCTGTAGAAAGCCATGGACCTACGTTTCAAACTTGTTGATATGAACCAGTGTGACAAATTTACAATTTCGAAATACTTTCACAACTCAGCATTGAAAATCCAAACATTATCACCCTTGTGAATATTTAGGTCATATGTTAATCTTCTGTAAGACTACAAAATTGTGCACAGAAACTGAAAAATATACAAGTATAATCTGTAGATTGAAAATAGAACCTACAGTATGACATTTATATCGATCGCTAGATAATGACAAGTCGATTCATACACTTTTCCACTCGCATACTTTCGGATTACAACTCAAATTAGAAAAAAATTGACAGACTATTTATAGGAGAGTAGTGCTCAAAAATAGTGTTAATTGGCCATCGACTGACTTCAGGGAATGATTGCTCCATAAACGAACTTGTACGACTATGCTCCTGTCTCCTTCTGGAAGTGCCCTTATATGACAACTGTTTCATAATCTCTACCAAGTAGGTTATATTCATCGCCTTCAGGCGACGAGGGTGTTCCTCACAAAGATAAGAGCGTGAATGCAAACGTCTGGCACTTACAAAAGTCCTTGTGGACGTGTAGGTCTACTTTGAGGGAGCCAGAAAACCCTGGTTCCAAACCTATGGTGCACATGGCCTACAGAATCCGAAAGGATCAAATGGCGTATGAGTAGGTTTCGATCACCGTCAGCCACGCGAGCACAGCTCCTGACACTGCCACACTGTCTTGTGGAGGAGACTTCATGTCAAAGGCTCGGGGTGTGATCCTTTATGACAACCACCTACTTCGGTCTGAGAGTCCAAGCAGTATCACAGACCTCCTGCAAAATATAAGATTTTGTGTGGCATATCTCCTGATGTCCATGATGTATCTTTTCAAGTATTGGTTTGTACGGATTTGATTGATTGATTACAGGATTTTGTCATCAGCTGACATCGGTTACGGAACCACTGGAAAGCCTGGGAGTACTGGACTGCAGTGACCAGTAGAGTACAGCAGGTCGGGTATGAGGACAAATACTCACCGAAGACATTGGCTAGCGGTCGCGCTGTCATGAATTAGCAGAAGCAAGAATTCATGGGCCATTGAATCGGGTCCTAGTGGCTTAACGGTCTACGACCTCGCCTTGTAACAAGAAGGTCCTGCGTTCGAACCCTGGTGGTTGCGTACTGGTGAGGAGTCCCAAACTAGGACGAAACAGCTGTCCAGTACTCTCTGCAGGTTTTCCAATGGTTCTCTAACCAATGTCAGCTCATGATGAAATCATGTAACCAGTGTACCTTTTATTTACGAAAACCAGTTTATACTGAAGTTGGCAACTTCCAGTTCCAACAAATTCTGCAGAAAATGGACATAAAGGAATCGGAGAAGAATTCAACAGTTGTGTTAACCATGCTCTAGCAGATCGATAACACTGTAAGTTATGCGCAGTCCATACAAACAACGATATTCAGATGTCGTGTGTGTTCAGCAGCTAAATTCTTAATTAACACCAGTCATGTTGAATGCTTTCCTAAACTTACAGCCTACCCTTTGTACTAATTTATATAACTCTTCAAGTAACTCCTGTTATAAATTTGGTGGACCGATAACAGGGGATAGCATCACCACTACCTACATCCATTTTCGACCGATTCTTATCATATTGACGAAACATATAGTATTTATTCGCGCCATCTCTTTTTGTTATGTGTCGTAGACAGCTGCGACAAAGACAATGTGTGTCCATAACATCATCATCACTATCTGATTAATCCACTGTACGCGGTATTCTACACTTAAATTCCAATTTACTAAAATGTTTGACTAACCAGAAGAATTTCTTTTTTATTCCTTCACGTTCCCAGTGGAACATAAGGCTTCAAGCTAAAGGCTGGAAGTTTCCTTAGCAGTGGTGTTTATTTTTTTACAGGATGGGGTTGCTAGCCTCATACCCAACCTTTCCTCTTTACCAGACCTTTATTTCTAGCTTAGCGAGGTAAAGGAGTGCGTCGGCTGGGGGGTCGAATGCCGGACCATGTACATGGTCGGCAAGAGTCCTAACCGCTGTGCCACCAACACCAGAAGAATACTGTTACGTTTTTTTAGAAGACCCCTGATTCTAACGAGTGTTTTGCATTAATACAGAGCAAGTCACAATGTTGCATTAGCTCAGCAGTCACACAACAATCTTCATCAACAACAAATAACTTAATAGCTGGGTAGGTCATCATGTAGTGAACATTATACGTGCATGATTTGTTCTGTGATTGTGCCTAAATTCCTCAGAATAGTTAGTTTTCGTCAACTTTATCCAACAAGCTCTCCTGAGAGGAGATGATTCAGAACAGTAAGAACCTACACATGATACTGTAAGAATATGAACTAAATGAAAGTGAGGAATAAATCATTTGTTTAGAAACAACTGGTATGTATTGTTAATTTTTTTTATAAAATGCAGTAATATTCTGTATATCCTCAATATTACATTTACAAAATTTATATACAAAAGGATGAAACCAATGCCTTCTGATTGTAAAACTAAACTAATTCAGGATCAACATAACAAATACTAGTTAATAAAAATAAATTATTTGGAGGTGGATGTGCACTTGGACTAAAGATTGTGAATACGGATTTATCTTCAGAAACACTGACAACAACAACAAATCCATAAACAGGTGCTTCTGGAACTTGATAGGGTTCTGATGCTTGTGAAACAGCTAGTAGACGATTTTTTAAATCTCGGCTAACCGGGACTTGAATCGGCGTACGCCAAGTTTCTTCTTCCTGTGAACCATGAGGAAGAAGTGCATCTGGAATAGCTTCACTTCCAACTTTATAAATGGAATACTGGAGAAAAAAGTAGGATGATATTTAGTAAACTTAAAAACAATATTCGATCAATTTACTCAGATAAATAAGAACAGATATTTAAACTGAACGTCACCGAATTTTTAGAACTTCGTAATTAAAACATGACCTGATACTGTTTCTTTAGTTTTAACAGCTCAACTGATCAGTAAGATATGAACTGATTTTCCGAAACAAGTAATGACTCATTTAATTGGTGGATGGTGACTAGCAGTGGAATCCAAGATGCGCATTTCGTCCTATTTAGGACTCGTCATCTGGATGTACCTGCATTACTCAGTGAGTGATGTTTCCACCGAGTCCCAAATAGGACGAAATGCGAATCTTGGATTCCACTGCTAGTCACCATCCACCAATTCAATTCTAATTAAATGCCCAGACATCGTCGAAGCATCTGCACAAGAAGCCAACAGACATGTCAACCAGAGACCGAGCACTTCGGTCCAATCAATCGACGGGAAAATCAAAAATTCAACTAAAGTAATGACTCAGCCCAATATACTTGAATAAGAATTTATTCACGAGTGCCCGTTAAAGATATGTATGTAACATGCAGTAGTTCGTTTCGTCCTACACAGCTGCTGAAAGCATAAAAATGACAATATTACACCTGAAAATAGATGTCTTCGTTCAGTTGCTCAAGTTACCTGGAACTACATAGCAAGTAACACTGTAATTAGATGAAGTGTTACATAATAATGGTAAATTGGTAGAATATTGGTCAGCATAGGGGAATGGGACATGCATTACGTATACCGCGATGCAAGCTTCCACAAACACAAATGTCTTCTGAAGATTAGGTTGGCAAAGAGTTGACAAGAGTAAACGGACCAAAACACGGCGCCACTGAATAGCCAATGGCTACTGTCTCGCATTATATGGGGAGAGCTGTAGGCCGTAGAAATGAAGTACTGAAAACAATAATAATCATTGATTGGAGACTTTTGGCGACATGACTAAAAATAGTCCATTATGGCGTAAATCAGATCACTTTTTATCATTAAAATTCACAGTGTTTGGCTATTCTGTATTTAATTTTCAATTTTGGTGACTTTGACCCGACACTGAAGGAACAAAATAAGATGACATAACAGTTTCTTATGAATTATGCAGTATATTATTGGTTCTTAAATACTGTACAGGAAAGGCTGAAAGGGATGGAAACAAAGTGACATTCAAAATATGTACAAAAATGTAACTAACCTCAGAGGATTTAAGAACAATTTGATGTGGATGAAGTCGTTTTAAGGGATTTTCTCCGTGCAAATAAGCACACACTCGACTATCGCGTTGACGTATCCACTGATCTGGACTTCTAGTTATAGCACCTGATGATTTCGGTAGTCGTACAATAGTCACTTCAGGAGGTAGATCTTCACGCAGGAAAGAAGCAAGAAATCCATCTTCTATTACCAAAAGCGTATCAATCTTTGGTGAAAAGATGAAATAATACAAAAGATTTGCAACTCATAAAGAGGATAGTAGTTGAGTTATTTTCTTACAAATTTAGTTCTCAATATTTTATCACCAAGTTACATAACTTCACTAATACCCTTATTTCTTTCTGAAGTAAATACTAAGAATCCAAGGCTTCCTGCCGATTGCTTCCGACCATCTAATACCAACAATTCACAGTGCACCGTGATGGCAAGCCACCTCGCATGATGGTCACATTGCAAACTTGAGTGGTAGAATTCAGTCTGCATCAAAGAAAGGACCAGACACACGCACTACAATAGTTAATGGCTACTATCCAAACGAACAGTCCCAAAGAAGGTTCATAGCTCAGTGGTAACGTCACTGACTGTAGCAGTGGGTGACGCGGGTTCGAGTCTAAAAAGGGACATCAGTCCCTCCAAAATTGCAGATACACCTCACTGACAACTGCGCCAACTAGCACAAAAACTAGGCCCAAGGCTTCCTGCCGATTGCCTCCCACCATCTAATACTAATAAACCTAGCCGGTTGAGGTTCGCATATAAATACAAAAACCCATAGTTAGGGGCTATAGTTGATGTCGGCTAAGAGTCGATTATATTGAGGCAGGTACATCCATGCTTTATCTTTACTTTGATTTGCTTTATCCTTGTTTCCATTCGTACTACGCTACTCTACAAGCTTCAGTAATAATACTTTGACATTTCTGTCTCCTTTTATTTTACTTTCTGGCGGATATGCAGATATAGAGCGACAAATTGGACCATTGTGTAGTAGTTATATTTCTTATCTTGTTGATGTTTGTCTATGTTACGATCTATGTCTCTAGTTGAAATGAACTCGTCGCTAATATTTTATGGATCTGTCGTTAACTGATATGGCCGCATCGACAATTAATATGACTGAGTGAACTTATGCGTGATTATAATAATACTGAGGCAATGAACAACTCAACTGATATGCTGAATACGTCTATTCGTCCGTGGTGCCCTTTGCTTCAATGAGTCACTGTGGCTGTTAAGATACTATTTTAAGCTGACTCCTAACAGTTTACCTACTGATAAATTCACCTGGCTTGGTAACAAGAATATTCACAATCAAATATCAAAAGTAAGAGAATAAAATGCTTTGAGTTTCATGAAGCCAGATAGAATGTTCATCGAATTGTAGAGTAAAAACGATACACACTTAAGTATTGCTCTGTAGAAATTTGACCGATATCAAGTTATAGCATATCAATTAGAGAACAATTGATATATATATATATATATATATATATATATATATATATATATATATATATATATTATGTACGTTGATGATGCATTTGTAATAATCAAAAGAAATGATTTGGAATATACCCAAAAATTAATAAACATATTTGAAGACTTCAAATTCAAAAGAGAAGAAGGATTAGATTACAAAATTCCATTCTCAGATATCTTAATCAAGAGAACTAACACAGGAAGTTTAGAAGCACAAGTGTATAGGAAATCAATGCACACAGGCCAAATACTCAACTATAGTAGTAGTAACCCGATTAACTACAAAAGAAACTGTGCAGACAGACATTGTTTAAAAGAGTTCAAACACACTATAGCACTACTTCGGTGTTCAAAAGAATGGAGGAAAATTACTTACTAACCGTCTTAAAAAAAATCAATACTCTCATAATATCATCAAAAAGTGTTTAAAATCGAATCGCAACACCAACAAAAAGCCAACATCTAAGACTACAGGAAAATTCATCTTATTATATGTAAAACATTTCTCTGAAATAACAGCTAGAATACTGAAACCGTTTGATACATATATAGCACACAAACCAATCAAATCGCTTAATTCGATATTATGCAAACAAAAAGATCCAACAGAAAAAAGGGGATAAAATTAATACCATTTACAAAATCAATTGTATGAACTGTAACAAGCATTACATCGGCCAAAGTGGGCGTCCCCTTCGAATCAGAATTCAGGATCACAAATCAGCTGTGAAAAGACATCATATATACTCTTTCATATCAATGCATGTAGACAATTATGGACATCAGTTTGATTGGAATAATGTCGAAATTTTAGACAGAGGAAACACCAAAAGTGCCAGAGAACTCCTAGAAGCCTGGTACTCAGACGAATTATTCTATGTATCTCTGTCTGTCTGTTTTCGACATAGAACTTTGCACAAATGTGCGGAACTTCAAGTCGCCACATTCCGTGTAGCACGCGAAGCAAGAGAAGAAAGTACAAGAAAAGCATAATAGAAACAGTAAGCAGAGGTGTGAGACAAAGGAGTAATAAAGAAATACAAAACAGTTTCATTGAAGATCATAAGTCACAGGGAGTGGATGCATATGCGCCACTGAGAACGGTTTTGAGCCATGTCACCAATTGTTTCCAACCATAGATTTTCACCGTCCCGAGGACCCCAGCCTGGAAGTCTACACCTTTCTACGTGGCTTAGACTAACTGTTGTGAATTTCATTGACTGATGCCATTTTTTGGTTTGACCGCCGCTAGCTTTTTTCCAGTCTGACCCTATATGCGCTAACATAGCTCGTCGAGGGAGGCGATGGCTTGGCATGCGTAACACATGTCCTAACCATCTCAGTCTTTGTAGCTTCACGACTTCGTCGATTGATTTCCCCTGTTTACCTAGAACTCTACGCCTAACCTCCATGTTGCTCACCTTATTATGCCACTTTACACGGGAAATAGAACGCAGGCACCTATGATCAAAGACAGCTAGTCTTTTCATGTCTTCCAATCTCAGTGGCCAGGTCTCACAGCCATAAAGGAGGACGGAGCGGGCTGATGAGCAGTACACCCGCCCTTTGGTCGATAGTCGAACATCTCGTCTACGCCAGAGTCGGCGTAAACTAACAAATGCGAAACGAGCCCCTTGTATTCGTGCTGAGATTTCGTCAGAGATCAACCCGTTGGGGCTGATGGTACTTCCCAAATAAGTGAGGCGGTCAACGTGCTCTACCACTTCACTTCCTATTTTCAAACTAGGCGTCGATGTAGTCCAGTCCTGTAACATCATCTTGCATTTGGCGGGAGCGAATCGCATGCCAAACATTCGTAGATTGCTGTTCAATGTGTTTAGAAGACTCTGCATTTTGTCAGCGTCTTCGCCTAGGAGGACTATATCGTCTGCATATTCCAAGTCAACGAGATTATTCCCCGGTAGCAAGTCAATCCCTGAGTCGCTGAAGTCACCTAGAGTTAAGTCCATTAACACATCTATGATGAAGTTGAATAGAAAAGGAGATAATGGGCATCCTTGACGGACACCACTGGTCGTCATCAGTTCAGATGACAGCTCGCCGTAAGCCCTCACCTGGCTGTATGAGTACGAATAGAGTGCTTTAATCAGTGCAATATATTTTCTCGGAATTCCCTTTACAGCCAAGCATCTCCAGAGAACTTCCCGATCGACAGAGTCGAATGCTGCCTTTAGGTCAAGAAATATAACGACTGTTGGACGCCGGTAGGAATGCCTATGTTCTAGAATTTGTCGGAGGGTGAAGATATGATCAATACACCCTCTTCCTGGTCTAAAGCCTGCCTGGCTCTCTCGTGTTTGTGCCTCCCGAGCACCACTCAGTCTACGCATGATTGTTTGTATGTATGACATTGATTGTTTTGCCACTTGACATTTAACTATGATTATAATCACAAACATTTTAGTTGCATTTCATACTACTATTATTATTTCATGTATTCACACCTTTGATTCAATTCCCTCACCAGATATAATTTCTTAAAACGAAATCCATATATATACTAGTTTACAGCTTGACAATAAATTCATTGAAAAGAGTTTCTTCGCTGAATATTTTGTTCTTATCGAAGAGTATACCAACACAATTTCGGAAACACTCAACCAAGAAAATAGTCATAACGAATAGCCCTTATATGCATTAGAACTAATGGCGAGTAATTCATTAGTGGAAATACAATCAATCGAATACCAAACCAAATTCATGAAGTTAATTTCATTATCAGGAAAGATATAAAGCCATACTACAAATATTTAAAAATCTGTAAATAGTGGAGTTACGCAGTGAAGTAGTCAAACTCAACTGATTACGTAGATTGCGGCTAAAAAGCCATCAGCTTATGACTAGACCCGACCGAAAGCTGCTACCTTGACGTGGTGGTCGGGCTTGAACACCGCAATGACCTATTCAAGCTATACTGGCTGAGACTTATGTCTCTTGAGGTCCTACCATGCCAGGCAGGTTGTTTGGATAGCGGTTAAACAAAAAGCAGCTACCCAATCCAACATCATGATAAATACAAAATCACAAAATTTCATGCGGGATCGGCCGTGGCCCGAATTAACAACGACCACGCTTCCTGCTGCCGTGTCGCAGGGCAGGAGTGATAAATATGCTACTGAGACACACAAAACAACAAAGAACAAACAAAAGCAGGCTGCGTGTGACCGGCCCCAAGCAGTTGTCCCCTGGGCTCTGCGGTCACGCAACCAACTTCCACGGTGTGGGCAGCCGGGAAGTAACAATCGCCCTCACAATCCGAAACGCACGCGAAACCTCTCTATTACTCACTCATCTTTGTCTTCATCTTCATCTCTATCATCTTGCCTTCCTTCCACTGATGCAACTCCCCGGCTTGATAGCTCTCCACTTCCTCTCCACTCTGCGTCCACTAAAAACGATGGAAGCCAAAAAACCACCACTGACAGCCTCCTAAAGCCACGCCACCAATTTAATATAGGAGCTTTTAATGTTAGGACACTTTACCAAATAGGACAACAAGCATCACTAGCCAAGACCCTGGCATCCCGAGCCATTGATGTATGTTGTGTTTCAGAAACACGCATACAAGACCCAGTTGTGGTTATTCACCTAACCCCACCTGACCAACAGGTTGAATCTGCGAAATTCACCTTGAGAGTGTCAGGAGATATCGCAGCTAGTTCACGAGGATTAGGTGGTGTAGGGATAGCTTTGAGTACTAGGGCAGAAAAGAAATTGCTTGACTGGATCCCGGTAGATAGCCGGATGTGTGCTGTCCATCTGAACGGGTTAGTAAAAAGGAGAAAGGACTGCACTACTCGCCGATGCCTTTTCGCAATCTCCGCCTACGCCCCCACTGACTGCAGTTCAGATGAAACGAAGGATGAATTCTACCAAAAGCTGTCTAGTTTGCTGCGAAAGGCTAAACCCTCAGATATAGTCGTCCTAGCTAGTGACTTTAATGCTCAAGTAGGGAAATTGTAGAGCACGTTGACCGCTTCACTTATTTGGGAAGTACCATCAGCCCCAACGGGTTGATCTCTGACGAAGTCTCAGCACGAATACAAGGAGCTCGTTTCGCATTTGTTAGTTTACGCCGACTCTGGCGTAGACGAGATGTTCGACTATCGACCAAAGGGCGGGTGTACTGCTCATCAGCCCGCTCCATCCTCCTTTATGGCTGTGAGACCTGGCCACTGAGAGTGGAAGACATGAAAAGGCAAGCTAGCTGTCTTTGATCATAGGTGCCTGCTCTCTTTCTCTCGTGTGAAGTGGTATAATAAGGTGAGTAATATTGAGGTTAGGCGTCGAGTGCTAAGTAAACAGGGGAAATCAATCGACGAAGTCGTGAAGCTACAAAGACTGAGATGGTTAGGACATGTGTTACGCATGCCAAGCCATCGCCTCCCTCGACGAGCTATGTTAGCGCATATAGGGTCAGACTGGAAAAAAGCTAGCGGCGGTCAAACCAAAAAATGGCTTCATCAGTCAATGAAATCCACAACAGTTAGTTTAAGCCATGTAGGAAGGTGCAGACTTCCAGGTCGGGGTCCTCGGGACGGTAAAAACCAATAGCTGGAAACAATAGGTGATATGGCTCAAAATCGTTCTCACTTGTTTGGTGCAGATGCATCCATTCCTTGTGACTTATAATACCCAATAAAACTATATCGTTCTTCGTTATTACCATTCGTTTGTCTCACACCTCTGTTTACTGTCTCTATTATGTATTTCTTCTACTTTCTTCTCTTTCTTTGTGTGCTACATGGAGTGTGGCGACTTGAAGTTCCGCACATTTGTGCAAAGTTCTATGCCGAAAACAGTAATTACCCAGTATTTCCCAGAAATAAAGCCTTATGAAACATTTTAAACTCTAAAAATGGTTAAGCTGTATAGGAAAATTGTCAAAATTCAAATTCATGTACCTGCTAAATGTGTACGAATTAATTAGCTAAGGAGCCCAACAAGACTTTAGTGGAAATGATTACTCACTGATATCTGCTTCTCAAAAGGAGAACATTAATCGAATACAGGCAGTCAGTCATAAGATATCACCTTCCAAAGCCTCAGGATGGTCGGGGGTGGGTGTTTCGCGCTGCGGGTTGGCCACCCCTCCGTACACCTCCTGAAATGCTCCCATATAACCGGGCGTCTTACATGGCCTCTCCTGAGGAAGTCCTACTCACTGCCTTCATGTGGCGGAGGTGTTTATTTCACCGAAGTGAGAGGACAAAAGCGGATGCCTGGCGCTCTTCACCGGGTTGACTGTCCATTGGATGACAGTCTAAGGGAGATGGCTAAACCCTGATTCCAAACCTCCAACGACTGAAGTATGAAGCTCACCGGAGCTCACTGGCAGACGTATGGACAAAGGGTTTATTGGATGCCCTGGATGACTGGCCCCATTCAAAAAGGCGTATGAACCGGACTCCGGTCACCGGCTGCCAATGGATAGTGGACTCCCTACTCCACTCCTACTGCCTTGTAGGTCACACTTGGTTGTTTAAAGGCTAGAGCTGCACTCTCAAACAAAAGGCCGAGCGATTCTGGGGACATCACTCGTACCTAATTCCCATAAAACTTCATGAACTCTCTACAATATCAACCAAGTTCCAGTACTGGTCCAATAACGTCGCCTTCGGTGGTTTGGCCATGTTCTGCGCCGACCAGGTGACGACCTGGTCAAATCAGTTCTAAATCCCTCGCCATTTCCATCTTGGCGATGTCACAGGGGTGGATAGCTGAAAACATGGCTTGGTACAGTCAAGGCTGATATGGAGTGCCTGGGGCTACAAACCGTCTACGGACTCCGTCTGTGGAACAAGAATTGGATAACCCTGTCGCGAAAACTTCCATAAAATCGCCGCGCCTAGGCAGCGATGATTCGAGATGTTCATGAAGCCGGCTCATCCTCCCGTAGGAGATAGCCGAAGTAAAGTAAAGTAAAGTAGTACCCATCAATACAAGTCAGACATTCAGTTTGGCGAGGGATATTCGTTTGTCCTACATAGACTGAAAGGAAACCTATGCTCACCAAAAATAACCAAGGTGACAAGATAAGAATCTACGCACAAATGCTATCATTTAAGACAATATACATATCAGTAATAAGTAGCGGCAATACCACATCGATATTTAAGGTTGTGCCGTGTGCTACTGATAAGATTTATCAGTAATATATAAAGAGACGTTTGCCAGCACAAAAACATCAAATAGCGAGGAGACAGATTTCATGTCATAGAAAGCAAATGATTTAGTGTTGCGAAGAGATATGGAAGACGTGAAAGGAATACAGAGAAATATAAAATGAAGGACAGGAGTAGCACAACATGGAAGATCTATGCAAATGGTGATCTGAAGATAAGGTGTACAAAATTCCGTCATCTAGCGATACCAAATTCCAAATAAACATTCCTCTATCAAGTCTCTTGTCTTCTACCATTACAAGGTAACATCCATTGGGTGTTATTGACCTTTAAATATTATCGTTGAAAATCTACTTTTAAGACTAATATAATTGTTTCTACTGGTAATGTCACAAAATCATGATAAAATACTTAAATGTTGATCAGTAAAATAAATAAAAAAAATACCGTGCCATAATTTATCATACCTCGAATGCTGCAGCAGTTGTTCGTATAGCTTGTATACCCTTTTCTTTACTAGATCCCCCATCAGAATCATCTTTACGAAATCCACTCATGTTGATGATACAACCACTTGTGAAAATGCTCATATCATTCTCAGAACGAATATTTATGAGTTCAGCTAACCGATTCACCTACAAAAAGTCCAACGAGATACGATATAGTCACAAAAACAATTTTTGATTAATAAGCAAAAAGCATAGAGCATAAAACATTATCCAGTCATGTAAGGGCATTATATACGCGAAAACTGTGGTGAAGAGGGTGTGAAATATAGGGTAATTAAAAAAAGAGTCATTCACCCAGAAAATACTGCAATACTCTTCCAATTTTGAGAAGGTTATTCATGAGTCTGAAGTGAAATGTGATTACCTGAAAGGAGTTTAAACTTTTAGAGCTCACAGATATCTATGTGCTATTAACATAGTGAATATGGCTTCGAGTACACAAATCCAACAAACTGAACTTCTCAGTATAGTGATTTATATTCCATAAAATGTCAAGAAAACGTGAAGAATCCACAAACGAGATGTTTCCGAATATACTTTATTATTAGTATTATTATTATTTCCTTTAATTCCTAGAGGAACATAGGGCTTCAGCTGCGCATCTCCATTGCCTTCGGTTCACTGCCAACGTTTTCACCCGCTCCAAGTCTGTCCCACTTGCTTTCATCTCCTCTTCACATGACCTCCTCCAAGTCACCCTTGCACCGACGACCAACTCGCCGCTTCCCTTTCGGGTTCCACTCGAGCAATGGCTCGTCTAGTGATGTCACTTCATGGTTCGCTTCCTCAGAGTATGGCCAATCCACCTCCATTTATTCCTGCCTATTTGTTTAACAATCGGTTCCTCCTGGGTTGGTTCGCTCATTGCCAGAGATCCCTTCCTGTTGCTGATCTTTTCTGGCCATCTGATCTTCAGTAGTACTGAGCGAAGACAGCTGTTGATGAAGGTCTGCAGTTTGTTTGAGGTGCTCTTTATGATGCGTCAAGTCTCTGATCTGTATAGTCAGTAGCACTGACTTCACATTGGAGTTGAAAATCCGGACCTTATTTTCATTGTGATGCTGAGTGCTGTTGACCTCCACACAGACTTGAGAGTAATGAAAGCTTGTCTTGCTTTTCCGATTCTGACTTTGATATCCTCATCAGTTCCACCTGTAGGTAGGTAAGGGAGGTTGTTTCTTTCAGATTTCTCCCATTTCTGCTGGCTGATTGTTGTCTGTTGTTGTTGTTGCTGCTGTTGGCCAGGAATCTTCATCACCTCTGTTTTCTCTATGTTCACCTGAAGGAAGTTCAATCTTTGATGCTTCTTCTGCCAACTTGTTGCTTTTCGCTTGCGCATACATTCTACACATTTATATTTCTCTTAAAATGAATGAACTACTCTGAACGTTGCCCACCTTTGCAATTAGCTACTATTACACAATTGTAACTAAATGGTGAAATAGATAGCAGTCACTTATCAAAAATATGAAATGTCTGCTCTCCAACCACAAAGTGTTTTAGTCAGAAAGACAAGTTAACGTAGGTTAAAAGTTATGCATTTTTGCATAAAATAAAGCTGTAGACTTCATCAATATATCACAAAGAAATCATGTAATTGTAGTTTATGAAAAATAATATAAACAGCAGGATAGCTGAAGTGCTTATCATTCACTGAAATGGATAAGTTGCAAGAAAGTAGTAGAAGCATTCTCTTCATAACGAGATGCTTCTTTTAAACGGAAGGCGACTTCACTCGTTATCTTCATGTGTTTTATTAAGTGAAGCCAACGTTTATCTATAATTTATGGATAATTATCAGCTAGCCTTGAATTTAACTCTGTTTGGTGTTTAGCTGCAATAGTAAGGGCAACTTCTTTAGGATGGTTATAATGAACACCTATATACAGGACAAACCTGTCACACAGTAACTATACCATGAGCAGAAGTAACAATATACCCAGCGCTATGCAACATTAGTGATCATAAATTACTTTGGTGAATTGAGAGCACCCACTCAAAGGCATTACGGCAATACGATACACAAACTTTCTGAGTCCTTCATATCCTATAAAGAAAGGTGCTTGTGTAACAATAAATCAATATTCGATGGCCTTATTGACTAATTTTAGTGTGTAAGCCTTTTTCTCATGCATGTTACCTATAAATAATTGTAATTTGAAAAAAAGTAGCGACAACATACTTGTTCCGGAAAAGATTTAAGTTACTAGCAGGATCTGTGTGACCAAAACAAAAAACAAGTGGATCTTCTTCTAAACCCCAGCCTTCCATTAAATCATAGGGTTTAGTGACACTGATCGCTGCAATAGTTGTCGGTATGCATACCTGTTAAAGAAAATAAGAAATATTCAACAAACCTGCTATTGACGAAGTGTACAGGTGGACTTGTGAGAAGTAAATTTAAAATCATAAAGATAGTTCCAAAATGAACTTAAAAGTAATGAAAGATATCTGAGACTACAGTTACTTGAAATAATTAATTTATAAACACTGGTCTGATTTATGACCACAACCAACGTAATCAATTATTGTGTGAGCTTAAAAAACCACTACTTTAGTATAAGCGTATTTCCTAATACGATAACACAAATCCTCCGGCCAAACAAATCTCACGAATGTAAAAAGAACAAGTTGTTAGTAATGCTAGACTTCATACGCTTGGATCGCCTGATAAATTTTGATATGGTAGCTTTGTCCCCCTATGTGCCTCTTATCAGCCATAAACTATATAAATGTTTATAACTCTGGTTTACATATGCTATTACACAATCTTAACTCAGACACAGTCGCAAAAAACAACCTCACCTCCACCTCAAGTTTAAAGCATAGAAAATTTAAACTTAATCTCCGCTGCAATCGAGAAGGACGAATGACTCAAATTGATGCAAGCCTTCTGAAAGCCAGCAAATATGGGCCCAGATCACTATCTAACGAAAGCAACCTTTATTGACCAGGGTCAACGCCTTCAAAAAACCAGAGATAGACCACAATTCAAGTCCAACACTCAGAGACAAAAGGAAAAAATTACAAAGGACACCTTTCCTGTAGTCATCAGGAAAACGTAGGAGGCAAAACCACTGAAGAAACTTGAGTGGAAGAACTCTACAGCTTTCTCTCTCGTAGGAAATTTAAACAGACATCTTAGGCAAAAAGAAGTATCGAAAAATATACCCATTAATTCATAAGGAAAAACAGTTTTTTGCTTAGCGAAGAAATACCTCCTTTCAACGATTTCCTTTTTAAGCTGTACAGTTGTATTTATATTAAGGAAAAAGGCATTAAGTGGCACTAGAAATTGCTCAGCCAACATACATTTGATAAGAGTAAAGATAATCAGAATGTACTAAGAGGGGTAGAGTTCAAGTGGATGAATTACAAAACTATTAAAGATTATTAAATAAGTGAACTGGTATCAACATTTTGAAATTGTCTAAAAAATTAAGAGTACGATGACGATAACATTAAAGATGGCGAAGGTGAAGTGAGATGAATTCAAGTGGTAAATCAGAAGAAAATAAAAGAACATTATTATGACCAAGGTAAAGAAAGGGGTTAGACAAAATGTTTCTGAACACATAATTTAGGTTTTTGTCCATGTATATGCTTCTATATAGTTCAGAGACTTGGCCCAACACCAAAAGCATTCTCAACAAACTGCTGGCTTTTGTCAGTAGCTATTTCTGATCGAAAGCGACAACCAGATGGCTGGTCTGGAAAGAATAAGCAACACAGCAAACCGGACAGTAACCTACTGACCAACAAATTTGCAGATAGAAATGGAGACGGAATGAATATACTTTAAGGAGACCTACAGGTAACATCAAACGAAAGGCCCTCGAGCGGAACCCGAGTAGAGAGAGACGAGATGGGTGTCTGGAAGTGACACAGAGGAAGTCATGTGGAGAGGAAATGAGAGCTTGTAGGCAGTCATTTAGTCACCTGAATGTGATGACGGAAAACAGGATACAATGGTGATGTGATGCTGAAGTCCTAAATCCCATTCGTAAGGCAAGGAATGAATAATAATAATAAATAGCTCTCCAGTAAGACCATAAAATCGTTACTGTACACGTCAAAAGTTCACCTAGTTGGGGTACAGCTTTGAATCACTTCTGAAGAAAAACCATCTTTCATATTAGTCTCATTTGTTTAAAACAAAAGTATCCTTAGTTTAATGAAAACCCCTTTGTAATTCGTTTTCTTTATGCTAATAACCCAATGAATACAGACGTTAAACGCCAAACAACAATAAACTACAAAACGCAAGGCCATAAGCAGCCTAACTAGCCAAATATGCCTTTAGTTAAATGACACAAAGCCATAACAGATAAGACATTTCCTAAGCACATTAGACCAAAGAGAAGATGAAAGGTATGAGCTAAGATTCTTAAAGCTGCGTAGCCCATAAAATAGTCTGTAAATTTTTACTTAGCTTTGTTAACACATCAGCTTATCCTCCTTGTTTGCTATTCTAAGCACAATTTGAATGTGCAGTTTTACTAAGCACGATCAACGTCATCACGAAGTCTAACTAGTATATGAAATCACGGATTTCCCGTGGTTTATTAGTGTGGTCATTATAATGCTTCGCATCACTGGTACGCAATGTGGTTGATTACAGTTCATCTTATATCTGACAAACCCTTATATTCCTTATTACTCTACTTACTTATTTTCCTTCCAACTACTACAATACTCTTTATGTTGAACTTTACACTTTTCTTACTTTATCTTTTGTTGCAAAGTCTATGCAGTGTAAATTATGAGTTGTATTCAATAGGTAAGCATTATGACAATGTGATTCTACTGAATAGACTCAACTCTGTGAAAAATTAAACAAGTTTTACATGTGAAGAAAGTTTCCACAAACTTGTATTTCTGAGTTGTCGAAAGGATGGCTCGATAAAGCTGCCAGTAGAAAGCATACTTGGACAGACAATATTTCAATTTTCCCAGATTCTCCTAATTACAATATAGAGGTGGCTTGGTAAAGTGCTCATTCAAGAGGATTCACCGTATTTGTACAACATGCTAAAGATGATGAGAATAAGATACTGACAAAAACGGATATCCTTTGAGGTTTCTGAACGCGCACATAGATCAGCTAGTTTCAAAACCTTCAGTCTATTCCGTTCCTAAGGAAGATGCCTTCAACAGTAAATAATTAGTACGTTTTTAAGACAGAGACTGAACTCGGTCATCCGTAAAACCTACTATGCAGTCCGGCTTATAATTATTGAAAAAGCCAAAAACATGCTATTCCACAAGCCTCAACATTACACAAGTTATGTTACATCGTATACGATATACCAATTAAAATATGTATTTGGCCACACACCACACAGGGAGGAGTAATCGGGTTTTGCATGTGAGCGTAGGAGAACATCTACCTAAATGGTATAAGAAACAACTGAACTGTGAAATCCTAGTGAAACTAAGCGGACTAAGACTACCAACTTCGTTTAAAGCTAAACAGATAATCGATATGAACCACAAAATTGATATATGAAAACAGCTTTTCAGCTTATTTATGAAAAGTCGGCAGCGCTTACTGAAATACACAGATGTGATAGCTATTCGAAAACTTAAAATCTCCCTGGTGTGTACAGAAGCAATTTATTAATGCTCATCCTACCTAGGTAACCTTTATTTGATTATAAAACCAGATGTAGTGTCAGTTATTCTTGTTTTTATGTCCTTTATCATTTTGTTTTAATTGACCTTTATTTTCCGTATAAATTAACTCGATAAGTAAATGTGTGATCCGACTCTTCGACATGTATTGCCCAAATATCCCATATTTTCCATATAATCTCAGTGTTCTAATAACAATACCCAAATTTATTAAACGGAGTGTTTTAAATTTTATACGAAGTAGTTGTAACGTTTTTTCTTGTTCACAGTAAAAGAAAAGCCAATAAGTTAACGAATTAACTGTTAAGGTACAGTAATGGAGTGTTTACACATGAAGGCTCGTTTACTACTACCTCAAGAAGTATTAAAAGTATTTAAATTTAAACAATGACATTTAATAGGAAAACTAATCCTTGAAAACTAATTTTTTTTCTGTATAGTTGCATTATAGTATCATGATCTTAACTAAGCTACCTGATAATAACACCTTACAACCAACTATTAACTGGAAGCGACCAAATAATAGCGAGCTGTCCCAAGAATAGACACCAACACATTTATGAAAGGCCATAAAGGCAGGTCTAAGATCTTCCGAGAAAGTGTTCTTTCTTATAAACAGAAGTTTTAAAAAAGCATTTTGAATTTCTTTATAGAATGGAACTATACATCATTACAGATTAATAGAGACAAAACTGCCTTGACCTTCATAATTAATCATTTTGTCAACAAAAATCAGGAACCAGGACCAAAGTATAGCTATAGTTAAAAATAAAATTGTGAATAACATGCCTGATTCAACCCAACGTTCACATCCACAAGTACCGGCTTATGTTTCCTGCGGGCTGCATAACTTGCCAAAGTGCGACAAAGTGTAGATTTTCCAACACTTTCTTGGCCGCAGACCAATACTCGTGGACCTCTGCTTTGTTCGCTTGCAGCTTTCTGACGTGAGACCTCCAGGCTTGCATGAATATTCATGTAGACATGGACAATCTCCTGATCCTCTGATGAAGTTATTACGTAGGCAGCGATTCCTTGTTCTTGAACGATTAGTTTGCAACCATGGAAAGTAACGACTGTCCCTCGCTGACCCGGATATAAATGTAATTCCCAACCGCAAACAAGTTCAGTACCAAAAATTTCAGCAGCGCCCGAAACTAAAGTCAAACCCGATGGTGCTGTTACTTCGAAACGAAGCATCTGAAATTTTTCGAGTGTATATGTTCGGACAGACGAATTCAACCGAGGAAATTCTTTCAAACCATTCATGCTGATGTACTAAAAGGTTGTAAGCTATACAACGTAGATTATGATGTCGTTGTCAAGATAGACAATGTATGCAGCTGAATACAGGAGCACTCATAAAGCTAAAATGCTGAAGAGAAAAGAAGGAATAAGTACAAATCTCTTGAGTATAAATACCGTTTTAACAGTGAACAGTAAATGAAAAAAAACCTAAATTAACAGAGTGCAGAGCGAAATTTTCCTGAATTTGAACTGCTGAACACCAGGCTCAGATGGAAATATAGTATTAAAGAGCATTATATTTGCTCATGGAGATGCTGGACATATACCAGTAAAATTTGAGCAAGACCACCAGAAATACCTCAGGATAATTATGAGGTGTCATTGTACTAAGGTATTCTACAGGCGACAAGGAATTTTAGGAAGCTTGGGAGCATAATATGTCTTTTTGTTGTAGCCAGCCTTCACCCAATTTCACGAGCAACGCTGTCTGCATTTTTACACACCCTAACCAAGTACATAAGAATTATCCTACTAGATGACTCGAAACTGCATTTACATGGCTCACAAAAACAATGTGAACTTAGATTAAACGCCATAAAGTGATAGAATTTCGCCCTGAATAATAAATAAATATATTTCGAAGTCCATACACCACGTAAATGTTTAAAAGCTATCACTATTTTGGTTCTTATAGAAGTATATACACGTCAATTCCCCAAAATTTATGTAATCAGTGACACAAAAAATTGAAAAATTCCTAAAAATTTATTCTCAGTAGATCAAACAAAACACAGCGAAGGCTATTAACAAATACAACCGTATCTAGCAACCACCTGCCTGAAGATGTAACGCAACGCATTGACTTCTTGCTACATCTGAAAACCACTGATTTCAACGTCCAATTTCTGTGGTTTTATGAATTGAAACGACTGAGATGTACTCTGACATTATTGGCAGTCGGCCAAGTAAAACTTTAAACAACAATGAGAACTGATGGAGTGCGACAACACGAATAAACTTGAAACGCTCAGCTGAGGTAGACCCTGAGAGCAGTGTATACAATATCCAATATCCTGATTACGAGCTAGTATAAACCAGTGATTTCTTTGAGCTCGCTTCTTGATTGTGAGGTAGAGGTTCCAGATCTTCGGTGAGCTTCTGCGTAGTAAGTCCCGCCACTCGACTGCTTTAGCTCTGGTAGACTCCAAGAGGAGTGGTGCGGGGATTGGTCAAGATGTGGTTTGTAGTATGCAGTATGTTAGGACTGTATTGCTGCCGTGAATGGAGTTTGACCTAACTCCCGTTGGTCATTCGGTGTAGTCATAAAAGCAGAATAGTAATAATAATAATAATAGGTTGTAGTGTAGATAATATAGGTTGAGATAAGTGGAATAATAAAGGTGACCTAAGGAAAAGATAGAGTGAGAGAAGGCAGAATAGGTCGTGGGGATTTAGTTTGTACGCTTATTCATTGACAGTGTGGTTTCAAGTTTTATGGGGATAAGCCATTGAGACACAAACCTTGCATTTCTGCATGATTGTCTAGCTTCCGCTTAAAAATCTCCAGAGAAGGCGCTGTAGTCACGGCCGCCGGTAAAGCGTTCCAGAGACGGCAAACACGAAGCGAAAAGAAATGTGATCGCACTCGAGTCTTTGGTCTCTGGTGTGCTATCCTTAGCGGGTTACCTCGTGGAAGCCTATAGTCACTTAATGGCAGGATGCTTTTATTTGGGTGGGCCTGGTCATTTAGGATTTGGTAGACGGTGATGAGGTCTCCCCTGTGCCTTCGGTAACTAAGTGTGAAAAGACCTAATTTCTTTAGTCGTTCCTCATATGATTTGTTGCGGAGGCCGATCACCCATTTTGTCGCTCGTCTCTGGACACTTTCTAGAATGTTAGCATTCCTTTTGAGTAGCGGAGGTGCAATGATATTATGCACCTCAAGGTGTGGCCTCACATATGCCTTATATAACCTTAAGAACAGTTCCGGAGTGAGAGCTCCCAGCTGCCTATGCATAAAGTGTAAGGTTGCGTAGGCTTTGGCGACGTCCCTCGAGTAATTTCTACTGGTGTCCAGCTTTTCTGTTAGAATAAGACCTAGGTCTCTCTCTGATTGAACACAACTCAAGTTCTGGCCACCAAGGGTGTAATCTACACTCTGTGACCTGCCCGAATGAAGTTGCACTACTTTGCACTTCTTTAGGTTGAAAGGCATTCCGTTAGCCAGAGCCCAGTTTCCCAGAGTTTGCAGGTCAGCCTGCAATCTGTCTGAGTCTTCCGATGAGTTTATTGCTCTCCAAATCTTTACGTCGTCAGCGTAAAGAAGCGCAGAGCAGTTTAGTTGGGAGGGTAGGTCGTTGATAAAAATCAAAAACATCAACGGCCCTAGGATAGAACCCTGAGGAACCCCTGATGCCGAGGTGTGCCAGGATGATCGGATGCGGTTGACTTTGGTGCAGAATTCTCTCTCGCCTAAGTAATCTGTCAGCCATGCGAGAAGTGCTCCAGAAACACCCGCCTTGCTTATTTCGTGAAGGAGCAGACCATGGTGAACTGTGTCGAATGCTTTCGCAAAGTCGAGAAAGATCACGTGGGCTGGTACCTTTTCGTCCCAGGATAGTGTCCAATCGTTCCAAGCTAGTAGAAGATTCGTCACGCAGGATCTTCCCCTCCTGAAACCGTGCTGTGCTTCGTGAAGGAGGTTAGTCCCATCGAAGTATTTTCTCATGTGGTCGTCAATGAGACTTTCCAATATCTTCGATACCACTGGAAGTAGAGCAACTGGTCTGTAACTGGTCACATTCTGCCGGTCACCACCCTTGAAGATAGGGGATAGGATTGCACGTTTCCATTCACATGGGAGTTTCCCTACATCAAGGGAGTGTTGGAACAGATCACTTAGGGGTTGACAGAGACTTTCTGAACACTGCTTCAGGACAGATGGTCTGATGTCATCACAACCTGAAGACTTTTCCGAAGCCAACCTTCCCAATTTTGCAAGTACCATAGCCGGGGTAAATTAAAATGTACCCAGGAGGTTTTCGCGTTTTGGTTTTGCGATGTAATCTGGATGTTCTGTGGGGGTAATATCCTCGTTACTGTTTAGTTGCCTGTGAAAGGCTAGGCTGAACGTCTCTGCCATTTCAAGACTAGTAAGACATTTCCCATCAGAACCCACTAGATTGCATGCTCCCTGGTTGGTCGTTTTTCTTTCGGACATAAACCTGTATAGGCTTTTGGGGTTCACGAGAAGCTTATTGGCGCGGCCTCCCTGAAATGTCCTTCTATCGCTCCGGACTCGTATGTTACATCGATTCCTGAGTTCAAGGTACACTTCATGTTCGGATTGACTCTTCGATCGTCGCCACGCAAACCAGGCTTTTCGCTTCGCCTGCAGAAGGCGTCGTGTCCCCCTTGTTAGCCATAATCGTTGCTTCCTAGCTTTTGGTGTGACTAAAGGAACAGTATCTGAGACCGCCTGGTGAATGATCTCCTTTACCACTCTCCAGTGTTCTTTAACTGTTAGCTCAGTCCATTTTTTAGGCCAATTTGCTTCAGACAGAAGTCTTCGCATTTTGGTGTAGTTGGCTTTGTTATAACACAGATAGGGCTGTGTATTGTCCCACTGGCGTGAGGCTAGCAACCCCACCCTGTAAACAAAAAATTGCTACAGAACCTTCAGCAGAATGAACCTCTTTGCACCAAAAGAAAAAGTCTGTGTGGGGACATGGAACGTCCGAACTATGTACGAGATTGGGAAAGCTGCCCAGATCGCCAACGAGATGAAAAGATACGGAATCCAAGTGCTGGAAATATATGAAAGCAGATGGAATGGGAGTGGACTCACCAAACTGTCAACGGGCGAGTCAGTGATCTACTCCGGTCACCCAGAAGATAACCACACGCACACCGAGGGCGTGGCTATCATGATGTCACCAACGGCAACGAAAGCCCTGATACAATGGGAGGCGATTTCGTCCAGGATAATGACCACCAGATTCAACTCCAAAGGAAGGAAAGTGTCAACCATACAATGTTATGCACCCACAAACAACGCAGACCTCGAAAAGAAAGAGGAATTCTACAGAAAACTACAGGCAACGATGGACAATACTCCAGCTGGTGACATTAAAATATTAATGGGAGACATGAATGCCAAACTGGGACCAGACAACACAGGAAGGGAACTCATTATGGGTAGAGAAGCTCTAGGAGAAATGAATGAAAATGGAGAACTCTTCGCCGACTTCTGCGCCTTCAACGAACTAGTGATTGTTGGCAGTGTATACAAACACAAAGATATCCACAAGGCTACATGGGTGTCACCAGACGGGCAAACCAGAAACCAAATCGACTTCATCTCAATCTCAAGGAAGTGGAGGCGCAGCCTACTGGACACAAAAGCAAGAAGAGGAGCAGACGTTGGCTCAGACCACTATCTCGTTCAAGGGACAATCCAAATCAAATTAAAAGCTTTCAGGGAATCAGGAGCTGCAGATAGACCAAAATCCAAGTTCAACACTCAAAAGCTGAAGGACCAGGCTACAAAGGACATCTTCATTGCAAGCATAAAGGACAAAGCTGTCAATCACGTCTCATAAACCGTTAATGCCCAGCTCTCGCTACGCTCGGGCCCACGCTGTTCCTTTGAGTTTTCAGAAACGCTTAGTTATAACGGACGAAAAAACCAAAACACCGATCTGCCGTTTGATATTTCTGTATTGTTACACCAACATATAAAAGGAATAAGCGAACTAAGGTCTGTAAACAAATATTACAATAATAAATCGTTATATTACTTCTGACGATGTTTCACTCTTCTTTCTGAACAGCGACCGATGAGACGATGACTGTCGTATTGATGCCTCCGCGAAAATCGGGGAAGTTGATTTTGAGCAAACAACCAAGAATTGATCGTTCAATCTTCAACTCCATTGACAAAAGCCGAGATACAAATCAACACCAGCGAAAAGGTCAGCGTCGAAAAGCACTGGAACAACTTGAAAACGGTGTGGAGCCAA